TTCCCTTCCTCCTTGGCAGGGGTGGCCTTGCCCAGCAATTCATCCATGGGGAAATTCAGCTTGCATGCGCAGTCAAGAAGTTTTGTAAGGTCACAGTCTTTGAATGCTTGCTCTCCATTGAAACTCCCACCATCCAAGCAAAAAAATTATTTTAAATCTTACTCCCTTTCTGGTTTGTGGTTTGTTTTTTTTTTTTGGCAGGTGCCTGTATTGAAGCCTATGGATTTGATGGTAGAAGTCACTCCCCGGAGAATCTTTGCTAATGGTCACACCTATCATGTCAACTCAATATCCGTCAACAGTGACTGTGAGACATACATGTCAGCAGATGATCTCAGGATTAACCTCTGGCATTTAGCAATCACAGATAGGAGCTTCAGTATCCTTTATTGTGGTTCCTTGCTCAGTGTTGATAATATTAGTGGGGCTTAGGAGAGCTGTTTTAAAATATTTTTCTGCAGATTTAAAAATATACCTGTACTTATCAGAATTCCTGCAGTATTTGTAACAGAAAATACTCAGATATCAGACAGCTAAGAGGTTGCAAAAATCAGAGAGTTTTATATGAAAAGTAAGACTCTTGGAGTTGGTTAATGACAAATAGGAAACGGATGCCAGCTGAATGGTAACTATCCACCTGACTAGAATACTCTGTACTGCTATTTCCTGATGACATTTCACGCTGAGCTACTCCACCTTGTTTTGCTGAAAGGTCAGTCCTCATCCTAGCCATACCCTTGTTCTCCATCATCCTGCTTCCCAGAACCCTAATGCCTGAGATGTGCACAGTTTGGGGGTAAGGCTCAGCTGCTTTGAATGAGTTGTTTTGTCTGTGATTAATGCAGTCATTGCTGTATCAGTGCTGGCGTCATCCTGAAAGCTGTGTTGTGGAATCACTCCAGTCATCTGTGAGGCTGCCCTTTGCACTGCGACAGGGTGGCTTGGAGGAAGAGCAAAAGAAAATGTAGCCAAGAAAAGTGATTCTCTGTGTTTTGCAGAACATAAAGGAACCAGTAAGAAGGGAAATAGGTTATCGGGCTATCTCAGAACATTGTGTTCATTTGGTGTTTTCTTTTTAAGTATTTCAAAAGGAGGTAGAAGAATATTTCTCTCTGGATTTCTATGAGGGACTATTAGATGTCAAAGTGAAGTTGTCCTACTGGGGGGCAAGTTCCTAAAAGCCCCAATGAGATGGGGTGTTCTCCCTGTCTCTGGTGATTATTTGTATTTCTTCCTTCATAGGCCAGATCATCTGTGGAGCTTAACCCATGCTTTGTTAATGCCGTAGGGAACGTTTTCATTAAATCAAACAACTCAGAATGTCCCTAAAAAACTTCCTTTGTGGGATGAAGTCACAGGTGCCTTTACCCTGGTGATTGTA